TTCTCATCCTTCTACTCCCTAAATAAAATGCTCTTTTATATATAAGCATTGTTGATAACCTTACCCCCTCCTGTTTTCCTTTGAAGGACTTTAGTAATGTTAAATATTTTTTCAGTACCTTGCCTTGGCACTTTCTCCCCCTTAATTCAAGGCTTAGTGATATGCACTGAGCCTCATCACCACTTTGAGTTTTTTTTTTTTCTTTTGTATGTCCAAGGTCCCTTCATATGAAGTCAAGGATTAGATACTCTGGTCTACTCTAGATACTCTACTCTATACCATACATAAATAAATGAATATCAAGTTAAATGTGATGTGAATCAAATAAAATAAAAAAAACAGTCCCATTACTCAAATAATAGTCCAAAAAAGGGATTTGTGATGACGTGATTCAAACACACCAATTGTGACTTTTCGTGAATCCTTAAATCATTAAAGATGTGCGCTCACCTCCTTACAAGCCTAACAGATAGGCTTAATACACTTTTTGTTCACATACATGGAACCTGCTAGAATTTGCTGCAGCATGGAATGGATGTTGGATACTTCCTATGTACTCCACAATGCTTCTCTCCTTATACACTCGTTATCCCTGCAGGGATCTCTCCCTCCTTCAGCTGCTCAGGATCCCCTGCTCACTCCTCTTAGATGTTCCTCAGTGTCATGAAGCAAAAAAGAAATGTGGACATAGTGCTTTATCCTTATAAGACTCGCCTTTATTTAAATGCTCAATATATGCACTCACATTGAATAAAATTAAAAAGGGCTTCAATATAAAAAAAATCCTTTGCCTGTGTGTGCCCCGCACATCGTGTATACTCGCCAAATGCTCTCTGGTGCCGAGTGATGTCGTAGCCCCACCCCTACGAGTTACATCATAGGTCACCTGGCTTCATCAGGGGGTTGTAATTGTCTAGCTGTAATTGGTCCAGTTCTCCTGCTGTTGCACGTTTTACTCAGTTCCCATCTCTATTTTGGTAACGTTTTCTAATCCTTTTTTTTTTCCTATTTTGAAGCCTGGTTCTTGGGTACAATCTTTCCTCTTGGGTAATTATGTCCTAGTCTGTAACACAGGTTCAGTTTTGGAGTCCTCACCTTTTTAGTCGTTGACATATTCTATATTATGTATAGTATTTTTATTTCCACATTTCTGAATGTCTTTGTAGCTATTGCCCGAAAATAAGAGTCTTGCCCATGTTGTAAAATGTTTTTCTTGGTTTAGGGACACAGATCTCACCTCCCCCATCACTCTGGCCTTCTGCACTGCCTGTTCATAAACCGAGGTATGACAGTTGGTGGGCGGGGGGGTTATATATAGAGCTGGATTAATGTGTTTTTTTTCTTTTCATTTGCCAGTGTCCCAACCTCAACAATGAGACAAATAGGTTACACTGCCAAAGATTATCTACAATTTAGGGAATGTGTGCCTCAAGAGACTCAAAAAAGATTTTTCTGTAATTTAATGAGGAGTTTCAGTCACTTGTGAAAAAAAATTAAGTCATCAGCTACAAAATCTGTAGCTGCTGAATTTTATTAAACACTCACTCACCTGTCCAAGGATCCAGTGCTGTCCTCACCCAGACTGGTTCTTTATTGGTCTTTGGGTCCCTGGTGCTGTCAAGTTAACTGTGGGCAGCTGCCAGTGACTCCTTACAGCTTCATAGCCGGCTTCCCACTGAGCCTGCACGATTTGTGATGAGCTTTGTGAATGGTTCTGCAGCCTTCTGGGACCTGTGACGTAAGACAGAAGGTTGTGGGCAGGGAGGAGAACGTAGATCTGCACCAGCGATTTAACCGGAAGTGGGGACAGGTACCTGTCAAAACCAGGTTCCCCCCGCCCGGGAAAAAAAAGCAAAACAAAGAAACAATTGCGGCAGAGGAGGAAGAAGAGTGAAACTTCACCTTTTGGGAGATGTTCCGCTTTATAAAAAATTGTTTTAACTTCAGTGTGGGATCTAAAGGCCCTGTTGCCTTGAAGAGTATTGCATTTCTTTCCAGAAGCACGCCTTTCATTGTTTTTACTTTAATGACAGAGACACTTTAAATAAGAATCTAAACCAGTTTCTTTGGGTATATAGTTATGATTTGTGTGGAAAGTTAAAAGAAAAAAAAATAAAACAGATCCACACCGAAAGCCTATTTCCTCATCCAAACCAAAATGTTAAATCCGCCACAGAGATCCTGAGATTCTGTACCAGCCAAAGTACACATGGTGTGGTTTGCTGTACGCGGCTCCAGTGGTTTCCAAATTATAGTGCCAGACATTGTTTTAGGAAAGGGTTGAGGTTTTCTAAATTACCCCTTTGTACCAGATGGTGCCTTCTGATTTACATACCCTTAGGACAGATTCACACTATTGCATTGTAGTCATTTGTAGTAAAATGCATGTTTTACTGCACATTAACATGTGGCTTTCTGTGCGCTGCCTTCAAGTTCCACTCATTTCAAGTGGCACCCAAAAGCGCCTACAAAACACACCACAAAACACCTGCATTTTGGCACACTACAACATACAGATGAGAGCCATCTGTGCATGGTGGTGCAACTGTGTCAACAAAAAATTGCAGGCATGTTAAACCCTGCTCTGCAGTGCTTTGGCAGCCCATATAATATGAATATACTGCCTTAATGTAATGCATGTTAACATAAGCACGTAAGTCTTAAAGCTGATGAGACAGCCAGCTCCCTTGACATCAAAGATGAAGATCGGAGTGCAAGACACAAACTGGGTTAGCAGATTTGCAGATCTCAGCAGAACAACACTGGATTCACTAGGCTGGTGTGTGACTAGAGGACAACCCAGGGTAAGAGAGACTTTGGTGATTCTGCCATGAAGGTTTTCTAGGGTTGAACAGACCCCTGGATGAGAGAGGCTGCCTTACATACCCTTGTACCATCTCCCCCTTTTTTAGATTGTAGGCTCCATGAGCAGGGCCCTCCTATTCCTTTACTGAAATGTATTGTAATTGTACTGTCTCCCTTGACTAGTGCACCAGAGATAGGTTCATCCAGACCCCACTACACCATTACCCTTCCATACCAATCCCCCCTTTACTTACTATACTTACAGAAAACATAACACCAATTTTGGAGTAAAATGGCCAACACGGCCTTTTATTAACAAATCAAGTTTAAACACATCAACCATTCCTTATAACAGAAACATAAAGAGTTGTCGTTGGTCTTTGAAGGCACCCCCAAAACGATCCGAAATGCACCTGCAGACAACCATATTACACTAGGCCTCCAGCCGCAACCAACCAGCTCGGAGACAACCATACCGTCCGCAGTGCAGCACCACCACCTTCCAGTTAAACCTTGGTTAACTGGAATGTTCCCGGGCACACCATACCAATGATGGGTCCCACACCATTTTTGTACCTCCAAGATAAGAACCGCCTCCAAAGACCAACCACCGCCCAGGAACCGAAATAACCCCCCCCCCCGGGAGGAACACAATACTCACCAAACAGGGAGGGTGGGAGGGAAGCTCTCTCTCCTACGTCCAGCTCCGACTGACGCCCCTCACCAGGACACCCCACCCTAAGGTGCAGAAGACCCCACCTACACTCTCCCTCTACCAACCAGATCCCCCAGCTATCCTTTACCAACCCCCTAATACTATCATTAACCCTTACACGTCTTCCTCCCCACTCTGGGCCTAGTCATCCTGCCCTGCGCTAATTCTTTTCTTCTTTTCCCGCTACGGGCATTTCTTTACAATAGTAAAGCGCTGCGCAAACTGTTGGTGCAATATAAATCCTGTATAATGATAATAATTGGGGGAACTGCCTCCCAGTTACACAGCTCAGAAGGTGGAAAAAACACTCGGGTCCTTCCTATCCAGCCTATGTGTGTGTGATTTTTATTTCCTAACAATTCCATAACCCTGTATATTCTGCTTTCTGAGGAAAACCTCTAAATGTTTTTTTTTTCGACGTTGTTGATGCTCCCTGCTAGTACCACTTGCTGGGGGAGTGAGTTCCACATTTTTACTGTTCTTAATTTTCCCTTTCTTCTAATCTCAAATTATGGCTGTGTGTCCTCCTTCAAAGATCTTTTAATGAATATGCAACCCCAATATTTCATATTCCTGATATGTGCCTGCTCTACCGTGTATTCGTAGGTATAAAGTATCTTGTTCTTTTTGTTTTGCTTCCTTTTGTGTGAAATCTCTGGTGTTCTTACCAGTCCTTCTGCTTTCCTATTAAAAACTGACCAAACTAAGCAGGAGAACCCATCGTTGTCAGTTCTCTAGCTGTGCTGGGAACTTGGCCTGCTCTCCTCCAATAATCAGACTTGACCTGACACCCCCCCCACACAGCCATTCATTGGGGAGTTCAGTGGAGGCTGTTTCTCCTCCCCCACCTCTCAATGCAGCTTAGAACAGAGGGTATGTGATCACTAATAAAAAGGGGGGAAAAGGTATTTATAATTGTTCTTATCTATACACACGTTTTAACTTTTTTATTTCTATTTTAAACTGAATGGGTTGTTTTACAAGATGAGGGTTTATATGTAATTTAACCACTAGCCTACAGGGCACTTATACCCCCTTCCTGCCCAGGCCAATTTCCAGCTTTCAGCGCTGTCATACTTTGACAATTGTGTGGTCATGCAACACTGTACCCATATGAAATTTTTATCATTTTTTGAGACAGAGCTTTCTTTTGGTGGTATTTAATCACCTCCTGGGATTTTTATTTTTTCTTAAACAAACCAAAAAATTTGAAAAAAAAAAAAAAATTTTTTTCTTAGTTTTTGTTATACAATTTTTGATTTTTCTCCTTCACTGATGTGCGCTAATGAGACTGCAGTGATGTGCACTGATAGGCTGCACTGATGAGGAGTCACTGGTAGGTTGCACTGATGGGCATTGACAGGCATCACTGATGGGCACTGATAGGCAGCACTGATAGGCAGCACTGACTGACACTGGCACTGATAGGCGGCACTGACTGGCACTGATTGGCAGCACTGATAGGTGGCATTGACTGGCACTGATGGGTGACATTGAAAGGCAGCTCAGATGGGCACTGATATGTGGCATTGATGTGCACTGGTATGCACTTATATGTGGCACTGATGGGCACTGGCACGTGGCACTGATGGGCACTGACAGGTGGCACTTCTGGGGCCACACTGATCATCAGGGCACCCCCTCCCTCCGCGGAAAGCCGATTACCGGCTCTCCTCTCCTCTCGAGCTGTCAGCGTGACAGCTCCAGGGGAGAGAAATACCGATAACCGGCATTTCCGTGTTTACATGTGATTAGCTGTGATTGGACACAGCTGATCACATAACCGAGCCGACATCTTCGGCTGTTTCTGTGATCCACTGTGTCCGAGGGACACAGCGCACCGGCGATCGCCGCGCTGCGCGCTCCCTGAGCCGCACATGCGCAGTGAGAATGGTAGGACATCATATGACGTCCTATCAGAACGAGAGAACCACCTTGCGCCCGTCATTGTACTATAGGGTGGGCGGAAGGTGGTTAAAGTCTATTACAGTTACCGATTTCACCTTTTGATACATTTGTACATTGTAATCATATTCCCTTTAGTGCCTTGTCTCTTTTTTGAGGATTGGTGACCAAAACTGAACTGGATATTCAGGAACAAGCCAAACCACTGTATTGTAAGGGGGGTAGTATTATTGACTTATCTCTTGAATGAATGATGGTATTTGTTATCTGCAGTTTGGCAATGCATGCTATTGCTAAGTCTGATCAACAAGCACCCCCTGTCCTTCTACATCAGTAAATTCTTCCAGGGAAGCCCCTCTTAATGTATAATTTCCTGTGTATTTTTGGCACCCAGGTGCATAGCTTTACATTTCTCAGTATTGGACTCTGACAAAATAGGGGGTTAGGTAGCTACATGGCAAAGTGTTCCTGTAATGATGCTTTATCCTATGTTGAATGCATTTCTTGCCATAATTTGGTATTATTAACAAACACTAAAAACTAGCTCATGATTCCAATCTCCATATCCATTTATAGTTACAGTTGTGTTCAAAATAATAGCAGTCAGACATCACTAACCTGATCAATCACTGTTTTTTGGTAGAAATTATATTTCTACACGGCAAATAATTTACTAGCAGGTGTAGTAGAGTAATAGAAATCCAACAGACCCAACAGTCATGAAATGCATGCTGCTGATTCTGTGTAATTGAATCACTAATTGAAAAGGGCATGTTCAAAATAATAGCAGTGTGGAGTTCTATTAGTGAGGTCATTCATTCTTTGAAAAACAGGTGGCAATTATTGCCCTTATTTAAGGAAGGAAGGCAGCAAATGTTGTACATGCTGGTTACAGTGCATTTCTCTCTGAAATTCTGAGGAAAATGGGTCGTTCCAGACATTGTTCAGAAGAACAGCGTACCTTGATTAAAAGAGTTGATTGGAGAGGGGAAAACATATAAGAAGTGCAGAAAATGATAGGCTGCTCAGCTAAAATGATCGCAAATGCTTTAAAATGGCAACCAAAACCTGAAAGACATGGAAGAAAGCGAAAAACTACCATTCAAATGGATAGAAGAATAACCAAAATGGCAAGGACTCAGCCAATAATCAGCTCCAGGAAGATCAAAGAAGGTCTAAAGTTACCTGTGAGTACTGTTACAATTAGAAGACGCCTATGTGAAGCCAAGCTATCTGCAAGAAGCCCCCGCAAAGTCCCACTGGTGAAAAAAAGACGTGCTGAAGAGGTTACAATTTGCCAAAGAGCACATTGACTGGCCTAAAGAGAAATGGCGCAACGTTTTGTGGACTGATGAAGGTAAGATTGTTATTTTTGGGTCTAGTGGCCGGAGACAGTTTGTCAGACGACTCCCAAACACTGAATTCAAGCCACAGTACACTATGAAGACAGTAAAGCATGGTTGCGCAAGCATCATGATATGGGGATGTTTCTCATACTACGGTGTTGGGCCTATTTATCGCATACCAGGGATCATGGATCAGTTTGAATACATCAGAATACTTGAAGAGGTAATGCTGCCTTATGTTGAAGAGGAAATGCCCTTGAAATGGGTGTTCCAACAAGACAACGACCCCAAACACACCAGTAAACGTGCAACATCTTGGTTCCAGACCAAGAAGATTGATGTTATGGAGTGGCCAGCCCAATCCCTGGATCTTAATCCAATAGAAAACTTGTGGGGTGACCTCAAAAATGCAGTTTCTGAGGCAAAACCAAGAAATAGAGAAGAACTGTGGAATGTAGTCCATATCATCCTGGGCTGGAATACCTGTTCACAGGTGCCAGAAGTTGGTTGACTCCATGCAACACAGATGTACAGCAGTTCTCAGAAACAGTGGTTATACAACTAAATATTAATTAAGTGATTCAAAGGAAAGCAAAATCTTCAAACATTTTTCAGTTTATATAGTGAATGTTTGAGTTTGTAAAGAAGAATACAAACACTGCTATTTTTTTGAACAGTCTAATATTCACTTTTCTTCAATATTTTTTTTAGAGGAACAACACAAATTTGATCTATTTTTCTTCATGTTTTGATTTGGAATAGAATGTGTAGTGTTCCCAATGCATTTGTGTGTATGGAAATAAAAGCTATTAGAAGGATTTTGAGCTTTATTCACTTTTTTCAACACACTCCTATTATTTGGAACGCAACTGTATTTATCACTACTCTCTGGACCTATTGATGTAACCACTTTCCTATCCATGTATGTATAATTTTATCAACTCCAACAGACTTTATTTTATTGGATAAATGTTTATAAAGTACTATTTCAAATTCATTTGCAAATTCTAGAAAACTACGTTCACTGGACTTCCACCATTCAGTTTCTTATTTACTTCCTCATGGAACAATAACAGGTTGGTTCATGTTGGATGCCACTTATACCTTTTTATTACAGACAGATTGCGAAAGAGAGTCCTTTACCTTTTTCCTCAAATACCTTACATCAGCCTTTCTCAGCCTTGAAACAACTTTCTGGTCCCAGGGAACCCCTGCTAAAAAAATGACCAAGTCTACAGCTCACTGTACATTAGTGTGATGGCTACTGGGAAGGATGTTCTTTATATTTGTGGGCAATGAGCAGAATTCCCCTCTTACAGATGGTTAAAAACGTTGTCAGTGGGAGTTTATTTAAGATATTGAAATTGCTCTTTGCTGAAGGAACAACAAGCAGCCTCTGGAGGAACCCTAGGGTTGAATAGAACCCTGGATGAGAGAGGCTGCCTTACATATCATTGATATTAGGCTGATTGGTCTGTAGTTTCCTGGTATACATCTCAATCCTTTTTTGTAAATGTTTTGTACTAAATTTGCTGTACACCAGTAAGTTGGTACCATTCAAGACAGTTGTGCTCCTGTGTTGTCTTCAATGTCACACGCAGCCATGCCTCCCTGACTACAAGCAGTCTTGCCGACACATAAGTAATAAGTAAATTTTATCAGCAAGTTTTATTTTTAAACAATGGGACCTTATAACTTGTGATGACTCAATTCTACTGTCATTGGTTGTAGGTGACACCTGACTATTGTTTACTGTTTGTGACATGTCAGGTCCTTTCTTCAAAATTAAGACAAGTGGCTTAAAATATCTGTCATTTTTTGTCAGAAAGAATTGGGATGGGGTGAGGTGGATTCTGGAAGATGATTCACAGTGAAAATTATTTGTATAACAGAATTATTGTGAGGTGAGCTTTAGCTCACATTCCATCAGTGTTCATATTTACACAATTTTTCCAGTGACGTTTTGCGAAAAATTAGGTAATATTTATAAAGAATTAAGATTTTAAACCAAGCATGTGCTTATGGCTCAAATTAAAAGTGAAAGAACTTCAGTAAAACAAAGCAACGAAATTCAAAACTTGCACAGTTCTACGCAATTTTGGATTTTGGAGTTTTCAATCACAAACAACAAAACATTAAGTCCTCATGCACAGTGGACGTTTTTACAGCTGCTGTTTTTAGCTTTTGGCATTTTTTTTTTCTACAGCCAGTAAACTCCCCAGCATGTTATCCTATGTGTCCATGTACACATAGGCTGTAATCAGCGTTTTTTGGCTGGAAAAAAAACCCTAGAATTAGTGGGTTTTTGGAGAAGGTTTTTTTAGCTGTAAAAAATGATCTAACGCTGAAAAACGCAGCAAACCAGCGTTTTTCGAGCCCCCCCCCCCACTTTTTTTTTTCTTTTTTGGTTGAAAAACGCAAACACGGCACAACGCTAATGCAAAAATGCTGAAAAAACTCATGTTTTTTAACGTGCCTTTACACAGTTATTGCTACCAGCCTTATTAAAAAACCTAGTCTGCATGGAGCCTTAAAGCGAGGTATGCCCAAAGGTCTTTTGGCCATACTTCTTTTCTGGGTCACAAGAGTGCACTGTTCGTGACATCGTAGCCAGTCAAGGCTCTGCAGGGATCCTGACAATAATGCTTCCCTCTCCACAGCACAGTGGAGAGCGCTCCAGTGTGCACTAGTGGGGTGGAGCAGGGAGCCATCACCTGACAGTCACCTCTCTCTGCTCACTGAAGACCAAGAACTGAACGACCAGTGGTCATGTGATTGCTCGGTTCTTGATCTTAGAGGCAGCAGGGGATAGCTGCAGCATTGGATGAATTAAAATCTTGTATCAAGCTAGATGTGGCTGCAGATCATGGTTTGAAGACCCCCTGATTTAGGTTATAGCAATCATGTGGAATATTGGTTGTTTTTGATACGCTCCTAAACTTTGTACTTTGCCGTTTTTAGTTTACACAGTCTACATACAATGCAATAAATTACCAAGTCAGCATGTATGTAATCCCCAGAAAGGCTTGTTCTCCCTTGTGCAGTACATTGCTTTTCAGAGTGCGGTTGACAGGTAGCTGGAAGACAATAGGTCTTTTCTTCAGAGCCTGCTTTATTATTGCATGAAATGAGGGTGTTGCACGGCCTCATTAACTTTAATGGGTCTCGTTCGGCGATGGTACTGCCCGTTGAATGCAACGGTGGTTTAGTTTTTGCTGTGGCAATGAAGCAAGGACATGTGGCTGCAGCATTTGTACAGTCCTGAATGGCTTCATGTGCCTGCACGTGTTTCCTAAAGACATGTCCATTGCGATTTAATAATACTCCTCTTTTTGATATAGAACACGTTCCAGCAACTTTTTTATTATTAGCTTCCTATAAGAAGCTTTCCCATTTCTTATCCAGGCCTTGATGATTTTAGGCTCCTGAAATACATTGGGGTTTATTTACTAATGCTGGTTCATGCAGAATCTTGTGCAGTTCTGTATAGAAACTAATCAGCTTCCAGGTTTTATTGCTTAAGTTTAATTGAACAAGCTGAGGTTAGAAAT